ATAAACTGGCCTGTGTTCTGTGACTCCTATGAACCTAGAGCTCTGATACTAACTTGTCACGACCCCCGTTCACCCTCCATGAACATGTCGTGATGGCACCTAGTTCCTACAACTAGGTAAGCCTAACAGTGCGGAACAATTTAACAACTTGCGAAATTAACTAATTAAGTCTGAATACTGAAAGAAACTGGTATATAATTGCCACTCGGCATATACAACTCATGATAAGTGCGGAAGTAAAAATATCAACCCAAAACCCGGAAACTAACGAGAACCACAGGCTAACAGAAACATAGTACATTGTTCTAACTCCAGAATATCTGAAAAACTAAGGAAAAGGAAGAATAGGTTAAACACTAAAAGCTGGAACAGAATAGAGACTCCTGGTCTGCGGACGCGGCAGATATACCTCGAAGTCTCCGTGTATCTCCTCGCCTTAAGGATAGTGCGTCTGAGTAGAGGTACCTAGTGATCTGCACATGAAAAACATGCGCAGGAAGGGCATGAGTACACCACAGCGGTACTCAGTAAGTGCTAAGCCTAACCTCGGTTGGGTAGTGACGAGGAAGGTCAGGGCCCTACTGAGACAAAATATAATAATAATAATAATTAACAGTATGAAAATCTGACAGAAATAATAAGTACAGCAGTGAGATAAGGCAGGTCAACGAGGCAATAACAACTACAAAAGACAGAGTAAACATAGAGTGAATACAGCTCAATGTCAATGATACCAATGAGGGTCTCCCAGGATACCGTCCTGTAGCCCTCTTCTCAACTGTCCAGTGGATCTCCCGGGATACCGTCTCGTAGTCCAACTCATGTACCAAACCGAAAGATCTCCCGGGATACCGTCCCGTAGTCCAATCATCAATGTGCAGGGGGATCTATCGGGAATCTAACCCGCAGTCCCGAAGTAAAAGTGCAGGGGGATCTACCGAGAATCGAACCCGTAGTCCCAAAGTAAACAGACAATGGGGGGGGGGGGGGAGCTCCCGGAATCCCATATCCGTAGTTCCAATGTAAATGCGCAACCACAGCCAGAAATATACCAAGGAATGAAGTACGAAAGACAAACAACAGATAGAACTAGCCTAGCATGCTTCACGTAGTACAGTCAAAACAACTTAAGCAATTAGGCAGTCAAGTCAGCTAAACATGTTTTTCCTAATCTAGCACAAGTTATAATTTCAAGTAGAATAAGGCAAATAAGAAAGAAACTAAATCTCAATAACTCAAGTAAAAACCGGATTTTCATCAATCGGCTCAAGTACGCGCTTGCCACCTGACGTACAAGGCACTCAAATATCAAGTAACAATCCAAAGGGGAAAGGTCCCCCACACAAGGTTAGACAAGCCACTTACCTCGAACCGGCTCAAAATCAACTAGAAATCACGCCCTTGCCACGAGTATCCAACTCCAAATGGCTCAAATCTATTCAATTCAATTACACATTGTAAATAACATCGCAAACAACTGGTTTTGCTATTTAATTCAAAGCTACGACGTGAAATTAGGTAAAATGACCAAAATGCCCTTCAGGCCAACGTCTCGAAATCGAATAATTTTTTCATTTTCAGAACCCTCGTACTCTCATGAGTCCAACCATATAACAATCTCCCAAATCGGAGGTCAAACACCCACTCGAAACACAATAGTTTGGTCTATGAAGTTTTACCAATTTTTCATTCAAAAATCCGAAATTTAAAGATGAATTCGTGATTAGATTAGTGGGTTTTAAGCATAAGGGAATAGAGAATCGTTACCCAATCGTTGCTCTTGAAAACCCCTCGAAATGTCTCCCAAACCCGAGCTCTCTAGCTTGAGTTTTGTTAAAAATGGCAAAACCCTCATTTTTGAATGTTAAGTACTGTTCAGGTCCGTAAAGCATCGCGAACGCGGAAGGGAGCATGCGTTGGCGAAGAAGGAAAAATAAAGGGACCAAAAAATGCCCTTCGCGATCGCGAAGGAAGGGACGCGAACGCGAAGGCCTGGGTTCAGTGAACTACGCGAACGCGACTTGGGTTATGCAAACGCGTTGAATAAAAATCAAGCCCAGCCCTCGGAGTCCAATAAAGCTATGCGAACGCGACAACCTTGACGCGNAGATCGTGCTATACAAGTCTGTTTTGAAGACTTCCATGAAATAGCACCTGCACCCAAAGTTAACACATAGCCACTAGTGGAGTTAACTTCATCATTGTCAGTAACCTAGTTTGCATCACAAAATCCTTCTAAAACAGCAGAAAATTTATTAAAATGCAAACACCAATCCATAGTACCTCTCAAATATCTTAGCAAACGATGAAGAGCATTCAGTGTTCACTACTAGGGTTATGAGTATATCTACTCAATCTACTAACAGCATAAGCAATATCAGGTCGTGTATAATTCATGAGAAACATTACACTACCAATTGTGAGCACGTGATTTTTTTCCTACATAAAAATAACTCCTAAAAAATAGACCAAAAGTAATTTTTATTAATTTTAGGAATTTTTCTTTATTTATTTGCATTTCATGCATTTTAACATTTTTAAATCATAGAAAAATCCTAAAAATTGTCATTTTTACATATTTATCTTTTAGTCTTTAAAATTAGGATTTTTCTTTAGTTTTAAGTTAATTAGTTGTTTTAATGTTAAAAATAAATAAAGAATTTTAATATTTACAAAAATAGATTAATTTAGGATTTTAATTAATTAAAAAAAAAAGAAAAAAAGGAGAAAAAGAAATTAGGAAAAATATATGTAGGTTTGTTTCTTTTAAAATACTTGGCTTGGGCCAATTCCTAAAAAAAAAGGCCCAATATTCTTCTTTCTTGCCCAACCCAATGCTATACCCAAATACCCATTAACCCTTCCCTTCTTATTACCCTAAAACACACATTATCATATACACATTAGAAAAAGAAGAGATCATAGACCCCTGCTCCCAAGACAAAAAACGGCGCAAGAGACCTTTCTTCTGCCTCTCGAATTTCTCTCAAAAAACCAAAAAAAATAAAATAAAAAAATCGAGCACCCTAACCCCTGAAGCAATCGTCATTCCTTTCTCCTCCCTTGCTCACTCTCATCTTACTCTCCATATCAAAGCACACACACATGAGGATATAAATTGGAAATTGAGAAGCACTCGGAAAGGAGTTGAGAACTCAAACAAGCAGCTAAAAAATAATAAAAATTTTCAATTCTCAACAGCTGAAAACATGAGCAGCAATCATACATCTATGAAATTCGAAAAATCACTGAATTTTCGAAATGAGAGACGAGTTTCAAATCTGGAAGAATTTCCGGTTTAGCTTCAAGCTGTCAGATTTTCAAAGCCGATTTTTCTACAATTTTTATCAACTTTGTGGTTTCCGTTGCTGTCGAGATTGTTGGTTGAGCTTCAAATTGACCGATTGCAGCTTTATTCGTCTTCTTTCTTCTGATTCTAACTCCTTGAGAAGCTTGGTATGTCCTCTGTAAACAACCTTCAGATCTGTTTTTATATAGAATTTGACATGTTTTCTAGCCATTGTGATTGTTAGTCTCTTTCAATAGCTTGTTCATATTTTGGGGAATGGATCGATTTTCAATTTGTTTGGATCTTGTACGGCTGCAGTGTCATATGAGGAGTTTTGTTCTTGACTGTTGAATATTGTTCCAAACTAAGTGTCGTTCCTGCCTATTCTGGGCCTAACTTCAACGTGAGGAACATCTAAAATGGGTCTGTTTAGTCTTATTAAAGTTTTAGGTAAGATAGGTTCATTATTCTTGCTCTGATAATTGTTTGAAATCAAAGAGCCTAAACTAAAGGTTTCAGAAAGCTTGTTCACTCAATTTTTTATTATTAAAAAAAAATTCAATCTAGTCTTATGTTTCAATCTTAAGTGTTGGAGCATTCCTTCTTATAAAATTAGTGAAAACCTTCAAAATTAATGTACTGTTCCATAATTTTGGGAGTTTACCCTTATGAATGATGATTATCTATTAATTGTAAGCAAGTCTGTAATTTACTTGCTAATTAGCACTGTTTGGAATGTGGATCTGTTTGAATTATGGGTATTGGGTCCATGTCACAAAGATCTAGCAGATTGTTTGAATTAGTTTTATCTGCGTTGATCCAAAAAGAATTTCCACAACCTTTGGCCTTTGCAATAATCTCGAAGTAGCATAGAAAGGAAAAAGCATGAACATCCGTAGTTTGCTTTAATTGGGTAAAATCATTTGAAATCAAGCAAGATGTGCCATTAGTTGAATTTTCCATGGCCCTCGCAAACCTGAAAGTGCATAGTTGCTTTAGGTGCGCTATTTTAAAAATTAATTTCCTAAATTGAGGTGTGCATTTCATGTGACCCAAATCCAAATCCTTATAACGTTGAATAAAATATGTTTCGGATTGCGGGTGCATTTCATGTGACGCGATCCAAAGACATATTTTAGACGACGTTAAAATCTTCTTTAAAAATGAATAAAAGCGGTTTAAAGTAAAAATGCACATAGGTTTTAAACATGTACTAAAATCAGATAATTATGTCAATAATAACAGTTGAGCGACTGTGCTAGAACCACGAAATTCGGGAATGCCTAACACCTTCTCCCGGGTTAATAGAATCCCTTACCCGGATTTTTGGTTCGCGGACTGTAATACAGAGTCAACCCTTTCCTCGATTCGGTATATTGAATCCGTGACTTGGGACACCATAAATCTCCTAAGTAGCAACTCTGAATCTTTTAACAAATAATCCCGGTTCGACTGTCCTTTAATTGAAAAAAACTCCCTTTATTATACTCCTTCAGGGGGTGTAGTGAAAAAGGAGGTGTGACAGTATCCATTTGGTAGGGAAACAAGAAAAGGAATGGGTAAGGGTGTGATATTAATGAGATATTCTTTATTGGAAGTCATATGGTCAGATGCACCTGAATCTACTATCTAAGTTAAGGAATCTGATTTACTCAGTAAAGTAGAATTAAAACTATATACAACAGTCTTAGGCAGTAAAGTACCAACAAAATTAGCAGAACTTAGTGTTGAGAGAAGGTCTAGAATCAGAAATGTGAGTCTGTTGAAGCAAGGATATCAATTGAGCATACTGCTGCTGAGTCACTCCATGTACCACAAATCCTTGTTCTGCCTGATTCTCAGTAGAGGTTGAAACAGAATTGGCAAAAAAAATTTGTGGAGTAGAGAGTTCAGATCTACCATGTTTGCAGCTGGTTTTCTGCCTTTGGCGAATTTAAAATTTTGGAGAAATCCATTAAGTTTGTAACATTTGTCAATCAGGTGCCCTGTCTTCTTGCAATACTTACAGAAGAAGCCAGACTTAGATTGATCAAAAAATACCCTCTGGCTGTACTGTTTTTGTTGTGGCTGTGATTGAGTAAATTTGATATTATTGGAACTAGCATTGAAAGAGGCAGATTATGGATTTTGTAGTAATTTGTTTTTGTTTTTCATCTTGTAGAAGAATGTTATAGACAGAATCAAGAGAAGGTAAAAGATGCATCATCAATAGATTGCTTCTAACACCCACATAAACCTCGTTTAATCCCATAAGAAACTGATGTACTTTGTCCTCTTTTCTTTCCTTTTGTAGACCCTCTTTAGCAGCACAATTACAAGAGTGTGCATGACTACTACGTATAGCCTCTAATTCATCCCATATTTTCTTAAGTTTGTTGAAATAAGAAGGAATATCAAAAGATCCCTGATATGTGGATGCTAGTTCTCTTTTTAATTCAAACACCTTAGTTCCATTTACTGTCCCATGTCTATTATTAAGCTTTTTCCATATGCTCTCAGCAGTATCTGAGTACTGTACACTCTCAGCTATGTCTGGTGAGAGTGAGTTGGTCAACCACGATATGAATATATTATTGCCATGGTCCCATTGCCTAAACTGAGGGGAATTTTCAGGAGGCCTAACACAGGTCCCGTCAATAAAACTAATTTTATTTCTAGCACATAACGAAATAATCATACTACGCTTCCAACCCCCAAAACCATTCCCCGAAAACGGTACAGCCATAAGAGAAACTCCAGGAACATCAGAAGAAAGGAGAAATAACGGGGAAGATGGTTCAGGTGTGTAAACACATGAAGAACTCATAGGAGGATTAAGACTACCCATATCAACCAGATAATATCAATTCAGTACTCTTTCATGCAATAAGGAAACCAAACAGTTAGGGAACGAGGTTACCGGTCTTCTTCGTGACCTGAAGAAGCAAAGGCCTTCAGTGGTGTAAAAACCTAGGTCTGATAGAAAAACCCTAGGTTCTTCGAACAAGGTTGAAAACTCGAACAAAACTCCACATGATCTCCAAATCAGAGTGCTTCGTTGATAGTAAGGAGAAAATCCGCATCAAAACCACCTTGAAACCTTCTCGATTCATTGAACCCTGGATCTTCGACAAACACAAAAAAAATTCACCAAATCGAACAATTGCAGAATCGGACGACGCATATAAGTAGGGACTAACGAAATCCGTGCTCTGATACCATGTTAACAACTAGAATTGGAAGAAATTGAAGGTTTTCATCAATGGAGATTAAGTTCTAGAATGTTCTCTCCAGAGAGAACTCAGATGAACAGAAAAATGAAGTTGAGAAATAAGTCGGTCAACTCAATTGAGTTGGTCCTGTTGCTTTATATACAAACCCGGATACGGTCCATTACAATATCAGTCCAACAAATCAATTAATAGGAAAGAGCTATAACAAAGTTATATACATAAATATACATTTGGGCCTATTAGTATTACTCTTTCAGTTTTGGTCCTGAAGCCAAATATGCAAATAGCCCAACATCTTTTTCTGTTAATGATAGCAGGGTTGGGAAATTATGTGTGTTTCACATCTTTGCTTGAGAACTCGCAGGCTACCTGGCTTTGCTTTAGAAATAGAAACATGTATCTGCTTTTTACAGCTAAAGTTGTCACCTTTTTTTTTTGTGTTGTGCAGCTTCTCTTGGGCGCAAAAAAGGCTTGATGCTTCCTTCCTCCCAGGTAATGATCAAACTCATTTCCCAAATCATATTTCTACAATAGCTAGGATTTTCTAGTGCCTTTGGTGTTTGGAATGGGTGGTGGGTTTTGCCTAGATGCAACAAATTATTATTGCTGTGAAATTTTGACACAACAGTGGCAGAGGTAGGATTACTGCCAAGGGGGTTCAGGAAAAGGAAAAAATTAAAAAGGTTATAGCTAGTTGGAATAGAACCAATGATCTTATAAAAGGTTTTGAACCCCTTCGACCACTAAGCTATGCTTTTGGCCTATGTTAAGGAGTTTCAAAACATAATATATAGAGGTAAATTTTTTTTTCCTTACGTGTAAAAAAATATGGAAACTAAGGTCAGTATTATTCAAATATGTTGGGAACCCGAGCAAGTAACATTTCATAATATACTGCCCGTAGTAATTTATTTGGGGACTGCTCCGGACTAGACATCTCAGCCATGGACAATATAAGATGGGAGCCTTTAGTGAATTGGGGATGGACCTGCTCTAATACCGTGATAAGAAAATGGACCTTGGACCTCCAAAAGCTAGCTCATAGGTAAGGATTGGCCAAGACCATATAAGGAGACCAAGTAACCCATCGCTCATCGATGTGGGAACTCAACATGTACCCTCTATACTGCAGTTATTATCGCCTCTACATGCTTTGCTCTTTGCTTTCTCCTATCTTTATTTCTATTATGTTCTACTCAAATGCAGGTAATCAGGTGGTTTTCTTTTTGCTGAATTTGATTGAAGCAATTGGCTTGTTGTTGACATTCAAACCATTCCTAGTCGTACGACAAAATTCATAGTGGAAAGTTTATGTATTTCAATTATGATTATTTTTTAGTATTCTATATTACGCGTCGCAATAATTAAAAATTGAACTCCACAGCCAGCTGAGTGTAACTGTGGACTTGAAACCCTGTATTAAAGAAGTGGGTAAGCAAGAAGTTGTACTCTTTTTGAATATCCATCAATTAATGCAACATATATGGATTGGCCAGATGATTTGATCACCATGATGATTCAAATTAGATGGGTTAAATGTTTTTTGCTCATTCAAAATCCAATTTGAATGAAATTCATATATTTAGCAGCCTAGTTTTTAGACTATTATCTCTTTTTATACAGGGTGAACTCTTTTGTATGTCACAGTTATATTTTAGGCAAAATACCTTAAAACTCTCCTAAACTTGGCACGCATTATTGATTACGTCCTTGAATTATCTATGGTCTTAATTAATCCTCCCCCTCCATACTTGGTTATTCGATAGCTGTTAGCCCCTTGGACGATCTCATCCCAAGAAAGTGGCATGCACTCGCCTGCCACGTGAATTTTTCTATCTATGTGGTATTTTTTAAAAATAAATTATATTACCTTTTTAAATATATCGCTTTCTTAGATAATTTTTGTCGAATAAAATGTGTAATAAAACTTGGATAGAACTACATTATTTAGGCTATTTATTTTATTTGGCTAAAAATAAAAAAGTTTTAGTTATTCTTTTTTTTGAATTTGACCTGAAAATAAAGATTTATACAATTGAAATAAATAGTCAATACATCTAATAAGTTATAAAAATGCATGGTTTGAAATTTATTATTTTTACTATAATTTTTTATAATTATGTTTAAAAATTTTACCTGAAAAGATAAAAATACACAATTGAAATAAATAGTCATTGCATCAAAAGAAGAAATAAAAAGGTGTACAATTGCAAGTTTATTATTTTGGCTATACCTGTTTTATTTGGTAAGAAATAATGGAGTTATGGCCAATTTTTTTTATTCGTTTGACTCTAAAATAAAATACACTATTAATATAAATAGACATTATATATAAAGAAAGAAAACAGGAAATGTACACAATTGCTACTCCATTAAATTTGCTAAAAGTTTTTATTTGGCTAAAATGATGAGTTCCTACCAAATGTTTTACAAATTGGCCAAAATAAAAAAAAAAGAAATATGCAGTTGGAACAAATAAACATTATATCTTAGAAGAAATTAAAGTAACAAATGTCAGAGTAAAGTCCACATTGCATGTTATGATGAAGCCAGAAGAAATACATAGTTGTAACAAATAAATCATTATATATGACTATATGACAATTAGAAGTTAAAAAATAACCTATTTGGAAGCTGGTTTTTCAATTTTTCTTCACTCCCACGCGCTTAAAAGAGAGTGCACCCACACTCTTGGCCACATCAGCGTCCATGGGAAGGGCGGAGGGGGGAGGGGGGGAGGGGGTTAAGTGGCGTCTCA